CACCATCATTGCACTCCTCCGGGGCGAGGCAGATCAGTCGCCGGCTTCTGGACGGCCGCTCACTGCGGCTGCTGGCCGCTCACGCTGGTTGCTGGCTACATATGGTAGCCCATGGCAACCCACTGCCACAGGGGCTGCAGACTACGCTGTCGCCGGTGACTCCAGGCAGCCCAGCTCCAGGTTGAGCTGTTGTTCAGCATCTTAGCTGTGGAGGGCAGTGCCACTGGCCCTCATATGTGGGATCCGAACCGGGCCCTCTGGCGTCCCAAGCCAGCTCTTAACCATCGCGCCACTTGGCCGGCCCTCTCATTTTCTTTTAATTTCATAAATATACATAAATACATATTTCATTTATGAAATATATAATTTCATAAATATACATAAATATTACATAAATATATGACTACAGTCGCATTATATAAAGTTCAAATAATACTCATTCACAGGCATACCTCAGATACGTTGCGGATTTTGTTCCAGACCACCGCAATAAAGCAAGTAGTAATCTTTTTGCTGGTGGAGAGTATTGCTTTCAATTTGTAAAAAATGCAACATCTGTGAAGTACAATAAAACGAGGCATGCCTGTTCTTCTATAAAATGACCATTTCAATAGAATCTGAATATGATTGATTGGTCAGAAGGTCCTAGAAGGACTTTAGCCCAATCATGAAGGAGGTAATACAGCAGACAGAAGAAATGTCTACAAGGTCTAAAAAGTAGTATTAAAACACCAGTTGAGAAACTGTAAAATATCAATGTGTTAAAGCTACTCTGAGGCTGATAATGACTTAAACCCAGCTCATCTAAGACAAGGGCCACAAACTCAAATGTCTACAGGGACTAGGCAGGTAAGATACAATATATGAGAAAGGTGGGCAGTTAGGGGACTCTGTGGAACTGGAGAGCACAGTAAAAGGGGGTGACCTTTACCCTGCTCTGGTCAGCTGTTCTCACGTAAAAACGTGGGGCTTGTGATGGCAGGTTTTTAGACTTTTCTTGGGAAGCTCATATCCAGATATTCACAGGAACTCTCATGCTTTGTAAATGTAGATAACTAATTCAATATTAAACAAAAACAAACAAAACAGAAAAACCTAGTCTAGGCCCAACAAAACAGATTTTCTATCAGTCCTCTCACGACACTGACAAACCATTTTAATGTTTTCTTTCTTTGTAATCCTGGGATAAGCAACTCTTACCATGTGATCGAGCTGTTCTATGACACATTCTATAATTTCAGGCTTGCTTTCCAGCAGGTCAGGAGCAAACTTTTCATTCATCCAGGCCTAAAAAACAAGGCCCCCCACCGCCAAATTTTTAATATATTATATTATATATTATATTATATTATTATATATCTCCTCACAATGAAGCAAAATAACCCTGTAAAGTCAGTACATACCCCATGAAAATCATAGCTGTCTCAGACAAAAGAAAACTGCTTGCCTATCAGTTGGAAATATTGCAAATGTGAAGACAAGCTATGTTTAATAATGATTTTTTTATTTCTTAAATGTTGTCAGTTATGATACCTGTTGCTGATATTCAAACAGTACCTTTCACTAAGTAGCATTAACACATTTCTACTTCTTCACCTGCTATTTCCCACCAGGGGGCACCAGCACCTTTCTATTTTGAGAGATGAAGTAACACTTTACATAAATCTATACATCTCTTCATTCCTGAAGCTCAGAGCACTTTACAAATACGTTTCCATTCATCATTATAATATCTGAGAGGAAATGGATATAGTTATCCTCCTTTTATTGATAAGAAAACACAGATGAAGTTATTCACTAACCACCCTAGACTATAAAGGATCACAACAGAAGTGGATATTCATCTATTAAACAGTTGTGGAACAAGAGGTTAAATCCCTAATAAATGATGCAGGCCCAGATGCTTGGTACACTTCAGAAACTATCAAGGTTTAGAAAACTGAAATATCTATAAGCGACTGAGGAAAACTATACTTATCTTTCAGTTACAGGGAATTTAGTTTTAGCATAGCTCAGAATTATGTGCCAATCAGGCTCAATTGATTCCTTTTGACATCCTTGAGTCTCTGCTTCTCCAATTATCACCATCAAGACACATTATTAAATACTGGGTATTGTTACTACATTAATTTTTTCAGGTGCTGGAGCTTCTGGACTAGTGTTGCAGAAGTTAACCAGAAAGACAACCTGATTTTCAAGTAGCATAATGAGAAAAGATCAAATTGTCATTGAGAACTTATAAAGCAGTTTTCTTTTTAACTGGTATTAAATATTAATAGAACAAAAATATTTATAATACATATTAACATGAAGAACAGTGATATAAATACCTGTGTACATATAACTTCATTAACAAATATTATTTTAAAATTCCCTGTGTCCCTGCCTCCTCAGACATAATCATTAGCCTGAATTTAGTGTTAATTTTCTGTACAGTTTCACTACATTTGTTTGTATCTCTATACAGTGCTTCCCAACTTTTTCATGACAGAGCATTCAAAGAAAACGGCAGCGTTTATATGGTACACTGTAATAAAATGCAGTAGATTGGGGGGGTTGTCGTTTACATTATTAAATTATGATACAGTATAAAACATTAGGGGAAAACTTATACTAATATTAAACTTTCAAATAAATCTTTTCAAAAATTTTAGTGAGGAATTTGTGTTTACATTCATGGTCTTTTTAAAATAATCACGTTCTGTGTTTGAAATGGCTACATCTGGTTCGTGATCAAAAAAAATTTTTTTAATTAAAATTTATTGGGGTGACAATGATTGGTAAAATTACATAGGTTTCAAGGTATAATTCTGTAATACATCATCTATATATCACATTGCTGATGAAAATTTTTATTGACAATCTATTCATCATATTACAGGCTAAACTGTGTCCCTCCCCCACCACCCCTCAATTCATATGTTGAAGCTCTAGTTCCTAGTACCTCAGGATGTGACTGTATTTGGAGGTGAGTCTTTAAAGATGTGATACTCATAAAGTTAAAATGAGATCATTAGGTGGGCCCTAATCCAATATGACTGGTGCCCTTATAAGAGGAGGGAATTTGAACACAGATAGCCAGAAGGAAGACCATGTGGAGACATGGGGAGAAGATGGTCATCTACAAGCCCAGGAAAGAGGCCTCAAAAGAAACTCAGCCATGTTGTCACCTTGATTTCAGACTTCTAGCCTTCAGAGTTGAAAAAATAAATTTCTGTTCTTAGAGCCACCCAAGTCTTTGATATGCAGCCTTAGCAATCTAATACAATCATTAAAATGCGGAACTTTGCACTGTAGGCTATTACTTTTAAATTATTTTTTTATAGGTATTCAAGAATATGCTATATATGCCTCTGGAGTTGTGTTTATCAGTGGCCCTTGTCAGGTTGCTCCTCAGGCTATGCTATGCAGCCTGAGTCTGTGTCCATTCAGTTCCAGCAGCTGTCCAGGTCGTCCACCAACTCCTCGGCTGCATTCAGGACATTGCAAGAGAGCATCAGGCATGAGCTATAACTCATGCTCACCCAATGCCAAGCTGAGGCTGAGCTGTCAGACCCCACTATCCTCAGGCTGCCTTCTAAGGAGCCCCTGATGACACCCACAAGAAGCAATGAGCCTGAGGGCTTCAGTGAGGCATTTGCAGCACAGCAGTTTGTGTCACATCTCCGAAGCTGGCAAGCTCTGTCTTAACAACAGTGTTGCAAGTGTTTGAACTTTATATAAATGGTTTCTTCAGCAACTTATTTTTTTGTTGTTCTGAGTTATATTCCTGAGAGTTATCCATGCTGTTACAGGAGCTTTTACTCATTTTATTGCTGTTTTTACCCCCATGTGTGTATATGCCATAATTTTTTTATCCATTCTATTGTTGAAGGGTATCTGGGTATTTGCAGTTTTTAACGATTGCAAGCAATGCTATGAACATTTTGTGCATGTCTCCTGGAGTACACGTGGACATTTTCTCTAGGGTATGTACCGGGCAGTAGAATGATTGAGCGACAAGATATGTATGCCTTCAACTTAACTAGACTGTAACAAATTATTTTCCAAAGTAACTATACCAATTTACATGCCCCCTACAATATACAAGTGTGCAAACTGCTCTACATCCTTGACAATATATTGTTCACCTTTTTCATTTCTGTCAATCTGATGGGTATGAAGTGATATCTCATTGGGATTTAATTTTCATTTTCCTGATTAGTAAAAAGGTTGTACACTTTTTTGACATATTATTGGCCATCCTGGTTTCCACTTCTGGGAGATGCCTGTTAAGACTTCATTTTTCTACTGGTCAGTTTATAAAGTTTGTGTATTGTTGATGCTAATTTTTTGTCAGTTATGCATTTTGCAAATATATTCCCACAGTTCTGTGGCATGTGTTTTTACTCTCATGAAGGTGTAAAAACAGAGTTCTTAATTTTAATGCAGTTGAATATATCAGTTTTGTCCTTCATGCTTTGTGCCTTTTGATTTCCATTTAATAAATCCTCTCCTAATAAAGCAGGGACTCTTAAACTAGGATCCCCAGACTAGGCAGGCAGATTTCAGGGTATCTGTGAAACTCCTGAAATTCTACACGAAATTCTACATGGGTTGTGTATTATTTTGGGAATAAGGGCTAGAGTTTTCACCAGATTTTCAAAAAGGTCTGTGATGTAAAAACAAATGTTAAGAATCACTGCACTATAGTAAGGATGATCATATAAGATATAACTTTAAAACTACGTTCCTTTGATTTTGTCACTCACAATGGCATGTATGTTAGAAAAGAATGAAGAACACTCAAGTAACAAACACGAGAGAGTTCTGGAAAGGGGCAGTTAAGGGGAGACAACAAGAATAAGGCAGCAGGTGTAGTGGATTAAGAGTATGAGTTTTGGATCAAAGAGACCTGGTTCATATCCTGGCTCTGCTGCCATTGTGTGACCTTGGGCAAGTACTTTCTATCTTAGCTTCAGTTTGTTCTTCATCTGTAAAATGTAGATAACAATAATACCTGTCTCACTGGGTTGTTGTAAGGATTATTACTACTCACAGCTAACATTCAGTGAGTGCTTATCAGGTGTCAGACCATATGCTAAGCACTTTATATACGTATATTATCTCATTTAATCCTCACAACTCTGTGAGGTAGCCACTACTATTAACTTCATTTTATAGTCACGGAAGTCCTTGAGACAAGCTATATAACTTGCCTAAGGTCACATAAGAGAGTAGCGGCATGGAGGGATTTCAATACAGATAGTCTGAACTAACTACCAAAGCTTCACAGTTAACTGTAAATAACAATTATTGGCACACAGGAAATACTCAAACCATAGCTCTTATGACTATAACAAAAGAGAAAGCCTAGAAATGATTTTAGATAAGCTATGGAAATATAGAGAATAGTTGACAAAAAAAAAAGTATATGGGAGAAAAAGGAAGAATAAAACCAGTTTTATCCTAAAAAAGGTGTTTCAGCTCTTTCTTGCTAACCCAAGCAATTCTATAAATAGCAGATGTTTCAAGGGACTAAGGCATAAAACTTACAAGTCTCGACCACAACACCTCTGTAGTCCCTGCAACTACCAAGTAGCAAATCTTCGCTCTGTGATCTGTTCTACTAAATATACCCAAAGCTGTCCCTTACTGGCCCCACTAGAGAATTTTGTGTTTGACATGAGTTTTCTAACAGAGGCTGTTGCCCCTACTTCCTATTTCTGTGCAGATGGTAAGATCCCGTCCCTCTTCTCTTGAAATAAGCCCTGAATCCCATTTCCTCAGTTCCTGATTCCTGACATTTGCACAACTGGACTAAATTAAAAGGCTAAGATTGGAGCAAGGGGATTCTATGTGGGACTGTTACCTGCTCCAGCCTGTCAATGAGCTCTGCAGGAGTTAGGACCACTTCCTCACTACCCCCATCAGAGTCCTGTGCCATAAGATCCAGTTCCTCTGTCATCTTCTCTGAAACCGGGAACCTATGGAGAATAAAAGAACCCATACCTTTCAATATGTTTTCCATTTATTTTCAAGAATAGGCAACTATGTATCTACAACTGGGGTTGTAGAGGCTCACTGGCAGTGGCTAGAGAATTCATAGGCTTTGATTTTTCAATTCTTTGCCTCCTCCTTCAAACCTTAGGTCAGGTATCAGTTCTCGCCTCTTGTTTCCGCGCACACCTCGAATTGAGCACCTGTCACACCATGCAATAATTATTTGTCTTCCTGGTAGAGAGCCTCTCCTCAGGGGCCTTGTTTGCTTCATTTCAAATATGAATTACTCATTTGCTCTGTGCCTGGCACTTGTAAGTACTGGGGACATAAATACCTGGGTAGTCCCTCCGCTTAGCACTGTGCTTAACTCATAGCAGGCACTTAAAATTGTTGGGAGAACCAACCAAAGCCTAATTTGCTAGAGTCGCAAGGCCCAGCAACATCAGACCTGTCGGCGATCCCAAAGGCTTAAGAAGGTGGGTGATGGGGACGGGAAGTCCCTGGAGCCTCAGGGAAACAGAGCATATTCCTCTCGCTCCTCTCCTCTCTCAGTGCCACGAGTCAGAGTAACCGGCTCCCCTAACACACACACACATACAACGCGCGCGCGCGCGCGCACACACACTACCAAAGGTCCCACTCGGATGCTCACCTGGGCACGTAGGAGGCAGAGACGCACAGCGAGGTAGCAGGAGGTTAGGTCGGGAAGCTCGTGGGAAGCTGCACCGCTCTCCCAAGGAGACACTGGGGGCAAAACAACCTTTTCTAGGCCTTGCCCGCACGTAACCAATCCTCCCCTTCTCAGCTCCCGCGCTCCTCTTAGAAACGTTCCGCCCTCACACAACGTCACTGCGCACGGGCAGCACTGACCAATCACGGCCTGGTGTTCCGGTGGCCCCGCCCTAGGGGGAGGGGACTCGCGTCACTGCTGTCTATTTTCCCTCCTTAACGGAAGCGGCGGGAGACTGGTCCGGATTAGCTCCACCCACCTCGGCTTGCAGCACTCGTAAGCGGTCCCGACTAACACCACTGAGAGACTGTCGGTAGGGGGCACCACGCTACCGCGGCTGGGGAGACGCGGCGGTGTCTGCCTTCCGGCCAACGGGAAGCAGAATCACCCGAGTACGCCCTGTCCGATAGGGTGGCCAACAGAGAAATGGCCTGTTAAAATCAGGTCACTTAGCCTCCTGGGTCATCTTCTCCACCCACCACTCTTGGGCCCTGCTGGTTCCTTTATCTTTGCCGGCGCTTTAGTTGTGCTACTGCTTCCACGTCTAAAAACCTTTAGGCTAGTGGTTCTTAAAGCGTTGCACCATATTACCAGCATCAAGGTTGTCTTGGAACTCGTGAGAAATGCAGATTCTGAGGTCCCACCCAGACCTGCTGAGTCAGAAACTCTGGGAGGTGGTTAAAAAGACTCTCCAGGTGAGTCTGAAACAGATGAGGTTGGAGAGCCACTGCTTTAGGCAATGCTTCAATCTCAGCTGCTTGATTCTAGGTTATCTTGACATTTACTCCTTATGACGTCTACCTTTAATGTAGAGCAAAAGTATACACTATATATATCTTTTTCTTTGGGTGATGTCAGTTTTTCTTCTCTTAATTGCTGATGCTTTTCTCTCTGCTCTCTGTTTTCTGTACAAAGTGTCACCTCTGGCTCCCTTAGAAATGTGTTTCCCCCATTAGTTTGAAGACTCTTTTTTTTGTGGTTTGTTTGCCATTTTGTTTGATTAGAAAAAAAAAAATTTGGCTAATTGGCAGGTTGATAGTACCTGCCTGATTGCAATCATGTTATAAAAATAATTACAATACAATATACTGAGTGAGAGTGTTGGACATATTTGCAAAGGGCAGTGGAAGCTGGGGGACATCAAAGATGGACTCCAAAAGGAAGGAACATTTATTTGAGTGGTGTCTTGCAGAATGAGTTTTGTTAATGACAAGTGGATGGTCTTTTTAAGGTCTATTTCAACTTGTATTTCAGTGGTTTGGTAATCCAAAGGTTTTTAGTTGTGACAGAGTGTATTTTCCAGAGATAGCTAGCTACTCTGATATAGATCTCATCCCAGTACTCTTTTAAAAATATGCTGACACTCCTCCATCGAGAGGTGGGTCTGTGTTTTTGCCTCTTTAATCTGGGAAGACCTTTGTAACTGCCTCTACCAAGAGAATCTGGCAGAAGTGATGCTGTATGACTTCTGGAGCTAAGTCATAAAAGGTGGTGCAGCTTCAGCCTTGCTCTCTTTCTTGAGCCACACATCCCTTGGAAGCAAGGAGCTGATATGTAAGGAGTCTGGGTAGCCTGCAGTTGCCATGCTGAAGGGTCCATGTAGAAAGGTCACGTAGAGAGAGTGATGTCTAAGGAGCCCCAGCAGCTCCAGCTGTTCTGTCTTTCAGGTGTCTGAGTTGAATGAGCCTTCATTCAGATGATGCTAGCTGTCAGACTTTCAGCAATCCCAGCTAACATGGAGGAAGCTGTCCCTGCAGAACTCTGCCCAGATTGCAGATTTGTAAAATATTGTTGTTTTAAGCCCCTAAGTTTTGGGATGGTTTGTTATGCAGCATTAGATGACTAGAACATTAGTGTTTGAGCACAGTCCCATTATTCTGTAATTCTCATTGCTGTCTAGCTTTTCAGTGGTCTTTATTAAGATTCTTTAAGTGTAATAGATTTGAGTCCAAGCACCAATAACTTCTCCACACAAATACCAATTACTTATTTTACTTACTCAAACTTCCTTTCTTTGATGCTGTCTTCTCCAATCTCCCACTGCAACTTTCTTGGGGAGGTGGAGTCCAGCTTCTGCTTCCTTATTTAATAGAGGTGTGACCTTACACAGGTCTCTTCTCTGGGCTTCAGTTGCATTGCCTATTAAGTGAGAACAATATGTGTCTTCCTGCAGGACAAAGGGATAGGTCAAAAATTGGGGGCAGGGGTCCCCTTTCACTTCTAAGATCTTTGATTCCAACTAACTGACATTCATCAGACAAAACCACTTTAGAGTAAAATGAGTTTGCAGAGTAAGATTTCTGCTAGGTAAGGAAGGAGAATTTAAGGCAATGTCCAAAAAGAATATACAACACTACCTGGGGCAGGCAGCTCAAACTTTTGGTGAAACTGTTGATCAAATGGCACCGTAAAGTTCAGGAAGGTGGGAGAAAAGACAGGTCATAAGTTACCTTATGTAGAATGAAGAGAAAAATCCAGAAGACCTGGTTGTTGTGCACTCACTGTTAAGAAGTTTTAGAAAATAATTACATGGCCATATACCGTATTTCCCCATGTATAAGACGCACCTTTTCTCGAAAATTTTGGGGTCTAAAAACTGGGTGCGTCTTATACAGTGGTAGTATGAGCGCAAAAACAAGTGCGAAAAAAGTGGGAAATGCAAGTAAAAAAAAAACTACAACCACTGTATAAGACACACCCAGTTTTTAGACCCCAAATTTTCTGAAAAAGGGTGCATCTTATACATGGGGAAATATGGTAAATGAAATTCCATTCATTAAAATAATTACATAGAAAAAGAGAATTACATAGGTTATGATAGCAGGAAGATGAAGTTTGACAGTGATAAATAAAACTACATGACTGAATTTGTAGGCAAGTTGTGATGATTAAAAGAGCAAAATGAGCATGCTAACATGAATTCAGACAAGGAAAACATGAAGCTACAAACATAGCAAAAAGAAAAGGCTACTGCCCAAAGTGGAAGAGGATACAGAAAATAGGACCCTGTGCAATTGAAGAAGGTGAAAAGTCAATGCAATTTCCAGATATTGCCCAATGAAGAAATTAATTACAGTTAAAGATGCAACAAATAGAAACAGCCAAAATATTTGTGGATACCTATGGGAATATACATTAATAAGAATGAACCTAATTTTTTTCAACCATCAAGGATAAAAGATAAAGTATACATATCCATATGGTATTGTGAGTCTTTTTACAGAAAGATACTTTTGGAATATAAGATAATATCATCATTATTGTTTTCATATCATCACTGCCCTTGCTCATTTGGTCAACAGCTGTTTCTCACTGTTTCCTTTCTTTGAATTTCATCACATTTTGGGTCTCACTATCCTAAAAACCAAAGAATCAAGTTTTGGGGAGTGTACTACTTAAGCAAAGTTTAACCCTCAGTTATTCTGAATGAATGACAATTTGGATTAAAGATAGGAAAGTAAGAGGGCAACTTGGATTTTTAAGGAAGGCAGAACAGTACTCTTAGAATATTTTCTTTGGCCTCAAAAGAAAAGCTATTGACTGGAGAAATAGCAAGTATTTTCCCGGCCAATGGTAAAACCCTATACTGTTTGTATGCCTGAGTTACTGGGAAACTCAGGAGGTCAGGGCCAGGTTTGGGTCTCCCTAACAAATGTAATATCTGGGCAATTCATTATATTCCTAATTCCGTTTTTCCCCTCAGACTTTAGTTTTCTCATCTCTTACGCAGATCCCATCTTGATTTCAAGCACATTAAATTAACCCATATATGTCCCCAATAAAGATATAAACTTTACAAATCTCTGCTAAGTTTTGAGATCATAGTTTCAAGAGTTTTTACAGGTAAAGGTGAATTATGTAGCTTTGTAATATTGTTTAACTAAAAAAAGCGTCTCTAAACCTTTAATACTATGTTCTCTGTTTTCTCAACCAGCTCCTTTATAGGAACATAGTATGAAATATGACTCTCCTTCCCTAAGTCTGGTCTTAAAGTGCTCCTAGCTGCTGGCACAGACACATAAACCCTGCCTCCATCTCTGTAGTTTATCTTCTCATGGTTAATAGGAGGATGCTTTCTTCTCATGACTACAGAAGCAGCCTTAAGAATAACAAAAAAAGAGCCAGTTTGCTATGGAGGGGTACTCCTGTCTTCTGAAAGAAAGCTGACCCAGACCCCTGACTTCAAGCTCTGCTCTAACAAAGGCTTCCCGAGCCTGAACACAGATGCGTAGATGCCATCTTCCCTCTTTCCCTCAACTTTGTCAATAAGGAAGCAGAGGCACTGATACCTGCCAAAGGCTGCTGTCTCCTCAAGCAAAGAGTAAGATGATATTCTCTCATTCCAGTGTTACTATTTTACATTCTTGAGATTCTCCTTGGCGGAGAGTAAACAGAGCACCTGCAAACTAGTACCTCACTGCCCTCAGGCTGAGACAGCTGCGCTGAAGAAGGCTGTTGGAGGATGGAGTAAATTCCCTTGCGAGAAATAGGGAGGACTTCAGGCACTGGTGTGATTTTAGTCACTCTCTGAAAACAGTGCTGCTGATTTTCTTGTAGTTTAGGGCTTCCTCCCTTACACTGTTTGCTCCAATTGCGTTGAACTACTTAAGGACATGAGGTGTTTTGTCTCCTTTCTTTGCACATGCTGTTCCCTCTTTCTAGGCTTCTCTCTTTCCATTTAACCACCTGATGAACTCCTATGCATTCTTCAAGATGCAGCCAAAGTAACTCTTCCTCTGCGAAACCATCCCTAACATATTACCCCTTATTTAGGTCACCAGTAT